CCACCGCAATTCGCACATCTCAATGAGGACCTGCAAGCATTAGCGCTATGTCCAAATCGCCAGCAGTTACGGCATTGCAGTGGGCGAGGTGTCAATGCCTCTACACGGAATAGATAAGGCCAGGCCTTCAGCTCAGAGGGGCGTGTGAGACCAGCAAAGGTAACGATGACGCTTTCAGTAGGGACTCGCGTATCACCTACAGGTCTGGTGCATCTGTAGACAGATGTCACGCCAGCCGGAGAGACCATCTTTAAGAATGCTTCAGGACTAATGTTAGTTGGAACACCACGAACAATGCCCTTCACGCAAGCAAGATGAGGGGGGATAAAAGCGCGAACAGCAATGAACGCAAATCTCGTGGCGGCCAGTAAGTCTGTTAAGCATTGAATATTTGAAGACCTGCATAGTATGCCAGTCTTGCCGAAACGCCTCACCTCCGAGATGTCCAGAAAATGACCGCTTATGTTGCGAAGTTCTTCTTGGAACACCTCCGTTTCACTCAACCGAATGGTTCCACCATCAGTGGGCACAAGCGCGACAGGCAAACTGCTTACGCCGTTCTTGAAGAAACACTCCAGTGGTACCGATTCAGCAGGGCGACTGGCCGACCAGGGCGAGCCCTGGCCGGGGCCGGAGACCGGCATTGATGGCTCCTGAAAAATCAGCAAAAAGAAATTCTACCGCTAATAAAGAACCAAAGGTGATGAGTGTGGCCAATCCCCTCCCACAGGCCGTGCAATAGAAAGCGCCAACTACTGCAGGAACGATCGCCTTCTTCGCTCAGGCTACCTCATCCGCTGCCTCCTCAGTGCCGAATCGGTACCTTGTTCCTCCATGGTCACTTCTTCTTCTTCTCAACAGCTGAGCCACAAGATCTTCTTCGTTCTCGCGTCAAGCCAGAGGCCCACTACCTGGTGTCCGCTAAATCCCCCCATCATCGTTTTTGTCCACATGTAGACACGGGTCAATATAAAGGGTCCCTGAAACACTTTTTTTAAGTAACCATGGAAGTAATCCGCTGGAAAAGCGTATTGCCTCACAAATTTAACGCCACAAAAATTTTAAGAATCTGCCCTGTACGGGCGGAGTTACAAAGATTTGTCACACGCTGCAATCGCATTCGCTCATCTCTCGTCCCAACGAAAGCGCTGGAAGCTAAGCGGGGAGGGATGGGAGGATCAAACAAAAAACATCACACGCGCCTCGTGACCTTGGGCACCTTTTTCTTTTTGAAAACGCGGGTTTTGTCAGTGCGATCGCGCGCGCACGCATGGACAAGTGACGGCCTCTCAAGGCGATCTCTGTCACAACCGAGTGCACCGTGTTCGAATAATCCAATGGCTGATAGATGGGCTTACTACGAGTGAATTTTGGGCTTATTCCGTGATTTGTTGAGGGAAGAGCAAGCAATTTTTAGCTGACTGATAATTTATAGTGAATTCTAGGCCGCATGCTGCGCTATAACATTTGGCTCGAGTGTTCTCGGGAGCCTTCACTACCGTTCGGCATCGTTTTCGACCATGCTCAAAATGTGTTGCAGGGCCCCTATAAATCCAGTCGTTTTTTTAAAGCCCTATGCAGGACGTCCCAGAAAAGAAGAAAAGAATGGCGTCCTTAGAACTGATAAAGCAATGTTTTATTGTTTCTGGACCTTCACAGAGGCGGCAGTTAATTGAAGATACAAATATGCCTTTGGTGTTTAACCGTGATTTTACAGGTATTGTTTCTGTATGAACTTCGTAAAAAATGTTTTATTTATTGGTGAAGTAGGCGATATGTTACACGTAATAGCACGTCATTACCAGACAATGGAATATATTGTGAGCGGTAAAGTGGAGCCGGAAATAGCTCATCCGATACAGCATAATATAAGTATTTTCTTTAGCTAGACAACATGAATTCATTGGAGAATCTGGCTGTCAGAAAACGAACTGATTTGTATACTTCACGCATGAAACCTTGCAGACAGGGAGGCGATGAAAAATTAGTAGATACCACTAATTTTGGTGAAACATCCGCGAAATTCAACTGAAAGAATGTTCGAAGCAGTGGATGATCGCAGTCAAGAAAATAGGAAAAGCACCACACCAATTGTCTAATAAAAAGGTGTACCAGCCGACGACCACCTGCGCAGACAGGTATAAAACATTGTCTCGCCTCATCGGTTCATAGGTTGATGACCAAATAAAGGTAGCAAATATGAGGTGAAACTTTCGAGCAACCAATTGTTTGCAGAATGTAGAGTATTATTTTTTTTTGCCAGAAACAGGTTGCATACTTCAGCTCTGCCAAAGATAGAGAGGTTATGAGGAATAAACGTTTGGGCTTGGCGCTTTAGGGTGGGTACACGTTCTTTCCAATAATGGACACTTGATCGATATGCATTTAATGGAACGCCTTGGTATTTTGGCGGAACACAAGACCATGAAAATGGGTTGATTTACAGGTCCATTTCGATTTCATGCAATTTCAACCGGACTGGTATACTGGGTTCATGAAGTGTGCCGCTAAAATACCCCTTTAGACTTGCTGGTTACGAACACCGGCGGCGGCGGATAACTACGGCGATGCGCGTGACTCGCGTTCTGATCTCATAACAGCTTTCGCTGTAAAAACACGCTCACAACACGGTTTTACTCATTTACTGCAAGGCTTTATCAGAAAAACCGACGGAAGCAAGGAATCGGCGCCGTGGGTTGGGACAGACGAGCCGCTCCTACATTGTGCGAAGCGAGAAAGAAGGGTGTTGCGAGCTGGCGGAGGAGACAGCAGCTGCTGCGGCTGAGGGAGAGTGACGTCACCGCGCAGTTGTGACTTGACATACTTGGAATTGTTCCAGCCATACAGTTTCCGACAATTAACTAGAGGAGACCCTGGTGCTGCGATTGTTCAGTGACCATGAGTATGACATGGGTGCTTGCGGGCTGCGAACGCCCTCGTGGCTTGGTTTATCGATGTATTTTGGTTTGTTTTTTTTTTTTTCGAAGGAAAGAACAAACCGTTCTTCACTTCATGACCCGATTTGAAGTGGAAAGCCTAAAAAAACTAAGGTGGTGAAACGTAACTGCCGAACATTTGCAATCGCTGTTTCGTGACAAAGCAGCTTCAAGCCACGTGAAGCCTGAATGAATGTAAACTATAAAGACTAGGCGAACCCATGTCATACCCATAATTCCCATGCTCGCTAAAGCGCTCTGCGTTGCAGCTCCCATAGACATGTCTATGGGAGCTGCAACTGTGGCGCTAGTGCATTAGCGCCACAGTTTCCTCTTGTGTATATTCAGTAAATTCTGTGGTTCCAGCAACTGCGACGAGGGTAGCACAGTGTGGCGCGTTCGCACGGAAACACGGAAGGACAGTGTTATGCAGGCTAAACAAACAGCTGCTTCACATTTCAAAAAAAAATTCATTGAAGACAAACGGAGAAAGAAAACTGTTTAGGCGTGTTAAATCACGCTGCGAGCCTGAAAACTATGCAGACAGCTCAAACTTCATTTCGGCAAGTGGTGCGTTCACTTTGAGTGCATAGAGTGTTAATATACAGACTTCATATTAACTATATGTTTGAGTGGTATTATTCACTTTGAGTGCATAGAGTGTTAATATACAGACTTTATATTAACTCCATGTTTGAGTGGCATTGTTAGCGCTCGTTTGTCATCTGTGAAAGCAAAGACACGGGTGGCGCACTATATGGAGAAGAATATGCGCACCCCATAAAGCAGGACGCAGCTCCTGTAAACAATTATAATGTCCGAAAACCATGATATGATAATGAGAAAAGCCGTAGTGGGGGGGGGGGGGTACGGAAATTTGACCACCTGAGGTTCTTTGAGTGCACCTAAATCGAAGCACACGGGCCTCATGCAATTTCAGCTCCATTGAAATTGCGGCTGGGATTCAATCCCGTGACTCGCGGTTTAGAAGGCGAGCATAACCCCTAGACCACGAGCTACTGTGAAGTATTAGGCTGGAGTACATGTTGGATAGTTTTTTTCAAGCTCTCAACTTGCGCATACGAGCCAGCGATCTGGTGCCGACTTGGTTTGATCGCTATTGATTTGATTGATATGTGGGGTGTAACGTCAGAAAACCACCATATGATTACGAGAGATGCCGTAGTGGAGGGCACCAGAAATTTCAACCATCTGAGGTTCTTTAAGGTGCACCTAAATCTGATTACACGAATATACAGCATTTTCGCTTCCATCGAAATTGCAGCCGCCGCAGCCGGGATTCAATCCGGCGACCTGCGGGTCAGCAGCCGAGTACCTTAGCCACGAGACCACCGTGGTGGAGCTGTTTGATCGCTATCGAAGTGTGCCTTGACACATGCATACCTTAGTCATGCGCTTGCGAGGGTAGATTTCTTCGAATGCATTGTGCCACATAGTCGAGCGCATTCGCTGGACTATGCGTGTAATGCGAACGATGTTAGCAGCACCCTCTGCAGAACTCGTGCAGTTCCGACGAATTTCTGTGGTTACGTATTTTCACAGCAACTACCAGAACCTGTCGAGTCTTCCCTGTCAGCCGAAAAATATTGTCTTCAAAGTGACTCACTTTGGAGTTGAAAATTGGACTTAGACAATGACTAACACTAATGCCTGTTGCGCTGAAGTCCGCCGAGCTCATGGGTGCCTGATAAAGTTCGAGCAACATTGAACACCATCTAACGCGATTTCAAACATTCTTGCTAATGTATTAAGCCTTCACGGTTACCTAAAGAAATAAATTAGTCATGCTTGCCTTTGCGTTTTGAAGCAATTTAATATTTTGTCGATAGCAGCTGCATACGCCGCCAGTTCGCTCGCGCTTCGTCGTCTGCTACGTGAAGCTTGTTGCTGCAGTAGCGTCACCTGGACTAAAAGTCGGTTATGCGTCGTTTCCAGAGCATGGAGTTCCTTAACTCTGTTTATTAAAGTATACCTTTTGACATGAAAATAAGGGTCTTTATTATTATGACAGCAACCGTTTACATAACTTCCTACGCTATTCCCACGACTAAATATTCCGACGCTGACGACGCGCACGTGTTTTTAAAGTCTGTGTGCGAGAGAACACCTACCACTTTGGGTGTGCTGTTGTTCCAGTGTGCCGGCCTGTTTGTCGTTGATTGTAATTGCTGGTTCTTAGCAGGAAATGGGGAAAAAGTCAAAGGTGCCTAAGAAGAAGCATGACGGGAAACCGCGCAAGAAGAAGCAGGCTGCGGAGGTGAGAGGCACGATGTAAAGTATGCAATCGCTGGAAAGAGTATTTGGCTGATTCGTTCACTTTTTTCTTTTAATGGCTGATAGTCATGTCATCGTGGCGGTAACGTAACTAGTTTGACGTGTATGTTCACGTCTAGAAAAGGAATACGGTGATTTACGTGTTGTGTCGCTATACTGTACGCAGGCTGTGCAATCGTTTCTCGAGGACGAGTCGGAAGAGGAGGACTTCGACACCATGAAGTTGGACGCGGCGGCGGCTGCGAACAAGAAGAAATCGGGTGGCTTCCAAGCCATGGGTAAGCAGTGCACGCACTCACGGAGCCATTGTTGGTCTTGTGTGTGTGTGCCTGGCTTGTTCGTTATAGAAAAAGAAAGGAAAAAAGTCAGTCTTTCAGTTCAAACATCATTGGCCCTGTTAATACCCCCGCGATCAGTTCGCCGCGTATGTACTCGGCTGCTGACCCGCAGGTCGCGGGTTCAAATCCCGGCTGCGGCGGCTGCATTTCCGATGGAGGCGGAAATGTTGTAGGCCCGTGTGCTCAGATTTGGGTGCACGTTAAAGAACCCCAGGTGGTCAAAATTTCCGGAGCCCTCCACTACTGCGTCTCTCATAATCATATGGTGGTTTTGAGACGTTAAACCTCACAAATCAATCAAATCAGTTCGCCGCGTAGTAATTAGGTACACTTTTGTAACCGTACGCTGCTCGATCTACTGCCTATTCTTGATGTAACAGCGTATTAAACATTTGTTGCATTCGCAGCGTACTTGTGGCTACCTGTGCGAAGTGATAAGCACATCATTATTACCAAGTCCCTTTCGAAACTCCACTGGTATCGAACTTCATGCAGTTTGTCCCAAGTTTTGACGCAAAGATTTAGTGTTTCTTTAGAGGTAGCAGCTACACTTCCAAATATATAGATACTTGATGGTCATCGTGCATTCGTTTGAATCAGCCTATATTCCTTTACAAAGTACGGTCATCTCAACACCTTTCTGGTAGTGTTGTGCCAAATGCTACACCAAATGAACATCACACATGTTGACCAAATATTCGTCATTTCTATCTGGTCGCAGGCCTCAGCCATGCCATTCTAAAAGGCATCTTGAAGCGCGGATATAAGCAACCAACTCCCATACAACGCAAGGTAAGGCTGCCTAGGAAGGAATGCTGCATTGTATTGAGTTGTACACTTTTCAAAATGAATTCCTGCCACTTGTCTCTCCATCGCAATGTGTTTTACTGCACATATGTGGATGATGTACAGGTTGGTTTTAGATTGTGCAACCTTTTCATGTGTGAATGTCAGGTTCAGCTAGGTTCGAGCAAGATCTCTCTATGGGCAGAAGAAAATAGGTTTAAGCTGAACGCACAAAAGAGCACTTGCGTCTTGTTCTGCCAAACGAGGGGCCTCTAAAGTCTGAGCATTAGCTTCTGGGCCTAATATTAGACACACAAAACTAGCCTTCATACCATACACCTAGTATTTAAGAAATAGGTGCTTGAAAACGATGATATTTCTGCAAGTGTTGTCACGCACTAGTTATAAGATATGTCACTAACCGTCATACCATTCAGCAAGTAACTAAGAAACAGGTATTCAAAAAGCATGTATATTGTGAAAGTGGCAATGTCATAACCATTATGGACAAGATAGTTGATGTTGAGAAGGAGTTTTACAGAAAGCTGTACAGGACCCGGAACAACCAGGATGATATAGTAAAGAGCAATAATAGCCCAGAGGAATTCGACATAGCACTCAGCTGCTGACCCGCAGGTCGCGGGATCGAATCCCAGCTGCGGCGACTGCATTTCCCATGGAGACGGAAATGTTGTAGGCCCGTGTGCTCAGATTTGGGTGCACGTTAAAGAACCCCAGGTGGTCGAAATTTCCGGAGCCCTCCACTATGGCGTCTCTCATAATCATATGGTGGTTTTGGGACGTTAAACCCCACATATCAATCAATCAGGAATTCGACTTCCTACCAGTAACGACAAGGGAAGTAAAGAAAACCCAAGAAGGAATGCAAAGAAGCAAAGCCACTGGTGTGAATAAGGTAACAACGACCCTCTTGAAGGTTGGTAGAGAAATTGTGTTAGAAAAACTGGCCACCTTATATACGAAGTGTCTCTTGACGGCAAGGGTAGCAAAATATTGTAAGAACGCCAACGTCATCTTAGTCCATAAGAAAGGAGACATTGAGGACTTGAAAAATTACAGGCCGATCAGCTTAATGTCCATTCTCTATAAACTATTTACAACAATGATAGCAAATACAATTAGGGCGACATTAGAGTTCAATCAAGCAAAGGACAAAGCAAAATTTTGTACCGGCTACTCCAGAATCGACCATATTCGTACTGTCAATCGGGTAATGGAGAAATGTGCAGAATACAACTAACCCCTATACATAGCTTTCATAAATTACGAGAAGGAGTTTAGCTCAGTCGAGACATTAGTAGTAATGCAGGCACTATGGGACCAGGGCACCGACGAACCCTACATAAGCATACTGCAAGAAATCTGCTGTGGATCCACAGCCACCGTAGTTCTCTGTAAGGTAAGCAACAAAATACCAATAAAGAAGAGTGTAAAGCAGGGAGACACGATCTGTCCAGCGATATTCACCGTGTGTTTACAGGAAGTTTTCAGGGCCTTAGATTGGGAAGAGTGAGAAATAAAAGTTTATGGAGAGTATCTTAGTAACCTGCGATTCACTGATGACATTGCCTTGATGAGTAACTCAGGGGATGAATTACAGCTTATGATTACTGAACTGGACACAGAAAGCAGGACAGCTGGATTGAAAATTAGTATGCACAAAACTAAAGTAATGTGCACCACTTAATAAAGCTTATGGTGCAAAAAAAAAAAAAAAAAAAAAAAAACAAGAGACAGACAAGCGCTTGTCCATCTCTCGTGATTTTTTTTTTTTTCGTGCCATAAGCTTCGTTAAGAATGAACTAATTCACCCAACAAGTCACTCTGCTGTGATGTGCAATAGTCTCCTAAGGAAACAGCACTTTGCGATAGGTGGAGAGAGGTTGGAAGTTGTAAAGAAATTTGTCTACTTAGAATAGGTAGTAACCGCAGAGCCGAACCATGTGAGTGAAATAAATAGAAAAAAAATGATGAACTATCTTCCCGAAGGAAACCATGATGGGATACGAAGCAGGAGCGGTGCGCACGCCGTTGACCCTGCTGAAATGACACGGGTGCTGGAAGAACAGTTTGAAGCGTAACTCTGTGTAGCTTTTACTCGAGGAAACGTTTCTTTGAAATGCAAAGGTACAGGAGGCGGATTGAGTTTCGTGTAAGTTTCAACGCAGATAAACGAGTCGAAAGAGTGTTTTCACTCGACATGCATTCGATTGTTGCACGCGGTTGAGACAGCGAAGAGAGAGAAAAGTGTTACGAGTGGGCAGAAGAGCAACACCACCTAGGTGTATTAGAGGAGCCGGCAGCTGCTGTGGGTGAGAGAGAGTGACATCAACGCCCAGCTGCGACTTGACCTACTTGGCATCATTCCAACAACTGCAGCGGAAGGAATGCATTGTGGCGCGTTGGCACGGTGACACAGATGGACAGTGTTACAAGGGCTAGTCAAGAGCTGCTTCACATTTAAAGGATGGGGTGGATCACATTCTGCACTAGCCCCTTAGAAAGGCTGAATGTAGAATCAAATGAGTGGTTGCTCCACCTCCAGACATGTTACATGTCCTTTGTATACTATCTCAAGGTGAACGCATAGAAGGAATATCCCTCTCACTTCACAATCAATGATTTGTCCAGTTCTGCTGTGTTCCTCAACTGTCCTTTGCTGTGACAGCCCTACTCACTTCGTGTGAGGGGCCTCTTTAAAAAAATGGGCATGCCGCTTCTAGAACACTGTTTGGCGGCTCCTGCAGCATGTCCACCAATGTGGCAGTGGCAGGTTATAGACTGCTATATATCATTCGTGGAAGTTACTAAACACGCACTTACTGCACATATCCTCACTCATCTTCTCGAACTACAACACAAATACACTTGCCCAGAATTGATGCTTCCAAGTCTCATAGGAGTGTGTCCTATGTAGCTGTTAACCCAACTTTTTCGGATTGCGCTATTCTGCACTCCCAAACCAGCGTCCTCACCACAGAAGCTCATGCGATATCTGTGGCTGTTAAGCATATTAAGAAATTGCAAATACAATGGGCGGTTATGTTCACCGATTCTCATAGTCATAAATTCTTTGAAAACTGAAAAAACAACAACATGAAAATGCTGTTTTTATGTTGCTTTAATTTTTTTTATGCACGATCTACCCTCTCAAACAACATGTAGTGTGCTGGGTGCCGGGGCACCGCGACATCAGTGGAAACCTGTTGGATGACCAATTAGCTGCATCCGCCCAAGACAACGCTGCTGCCAATACATTCATAACTGTTCCTGCACTTGACCTGAAGCCTTTTCTTTGACAAAAGCTCACGGCATGTTGCTGCATCTATGAGATAGGCAAATGCAAAACAAATATGTTATCAAACTGAAACTTGAAAATGATTCACCAGTAACCAGATCATGCTACAGACATAACACTTACCATGCTACAAATAGGACACACACAGCACACATGCATATTTGCTGTCTGGCAGTGACCAACCTGTTTGTGAGAGATGTAGAGAACAACCTACGGTTCTACATTCTCTTCTAGTGCAACGAGTTCAATTCTCTTAGAAAAAAAGCAAATTTGATTACCCTACTGACAGCAGCTTACACTGCATCCTTTCATGTTAATCTGTAGGGATGCACTTTTTATACTCAAATCATTGTTCACCTCTTTAAAAAATGTACATAGCTCTCATCCAATATTTCGAGGTGATCTGTAGCACAACCTCTATGCAGTGGTTGTAGCTGTGGTGGCCACATTAAAGGCAACACCTGCCTCGTGGCCCTTGGGGCTTGAAGGGGCCCTCTAAGATTTTTTACGGCTTCATAGTTTTAGATGTTTTTCTTGCTGGTTGCATACACTGACGGCTTAAGAGATAAGTGCCGCAAGAATGGCAGTGACAGAGGCATGCAGCGCAAAGTTATTCAGCGTAGAGATATCAAAATACAATGAAATGGATGCTTACCCTCAACTCGATTTTCGCGGGCTCACCTTACGGTGTTTTCCTTGCCCTCTGACATCAGAAGGGTACCCAATGAAATGAACTGAAAGCCCTACCATACAGGAAGCTCGCATGACATATTGCCTGTTACGTCCAGCGTATTAAGGATGCCGTTGCAATGGTAACAAACAATGTGGTACTTGAAGAGGGAACGACACGGTCGGAACGAGCCAGCTTGCCAATGCTTCTATAATGTTTTCTAGCTTTACTGATCTTTCTTTTTGCAATTACGTATATATATCAATGCGCTTAAATTTTTTTTAGTTTCTCAAAACAACAGCGTTGCCGGCGCGTTTCCTCCAGCACATGGCGTTTGGCACATTTTTTTACCAGATTTGCAGTTTTCAAGCTGGAAAAGTCAGAGAGCTTTATTCTTGGTCGCTTTGAGTGAAAAATTATACTAATGAGAAAAGAAATCCAATAGTAATTCTTATTTTGATGCAATTCCACGATCACATTTAACGTTACATTATCCATTCATATGGCTACAATCTTGCGGCGTCATTTTTGCTCGCAGTAGTTCTGGCGAGTGCCACTACGAGTTACGCAGCCGGCACCGATGTTTTTAAGTGTTAGACAGCCCCTTTAAGGGCATGCATTGATGAGGCATTCGTGCTGATGCCATATCCGCCACCATGGTTTTATTACCATGAACACTACCATTTATTCTCGCTACACACATTTCATATCACCCCATGATCTTCGAATTTCCGGTGCCCATTCAGTCATGTTACATTACCATAGCTCACATTCTTTACATACCATCGTAAATCACAGTCTATTGTAATGCCGTTGTCACTTTTTACGGCACTTATTACCAAAGTGTGGCCCTTGCACCATTAAAACCCGCATATCATCATCTCAAGGCTGCCTGGGGTCATGGTGGTAAGAATCTTGTCAACAAGGCAGTTACAAACAACATAATGTTAAACTGTCAGTGATCCAAGAGCTATTAAGTAATTGATGTTTCGGGAGCCAGAATTTCGCCTTGTCTACCTCTGCTTTCCTCAATATATGCTGTGTGCAGGCCATACCCGTGGTGCTGGAAGGTCGAGACGTGGTGGCCATGGCACGCACGGGCAGTGGCAAGACAGCTGCTTTTCTTGTACCCATCCTGGAGCGACTGGGAGGCCGTTCACCTCACACGGGACCACGTGCCCTCATACTGTCGCCTACACGCGAACTCGCTCTTCAAACACACAAGTTCGCCAAAGAGGTGCGGCTAGTGTTTCTTCCCATCAGTTTGCCGTTGTGTTCGCACTGTATTTCTTGTGCACCACTAACACTAGGTGATTGCCTCCGGTTACCACACCTGTAGCTTTGAGAATCCAAGGACGGGGCAGTTGTGAACCTATTAATTGTAAAAGGTTCCTATCTTGTAAATTTATGCAGTGCAGCCACCTTAGTGTGGAGTAATAGCACAGCAGTCTCGATTGCATAAATCCTGCATTACCCTCCCCATTGCATAGCTTAGGGGTGAACCGCAGCTGCTCCTTGATCATGCATTACTCATGCCCTTTTCTTTCACTTTGGTGTCTAGTGGCCGGGAAACATGCACGACGGTAGTTTAGCAATGTGGTGAGTGTTTGCTTTAAAAGATTACATATTATTCAGCTCTTGGCCAGCACTCTTTTATACCTCTGTCTACATGCCATAACTATGGTTATCTATATCTGTATCAGGCCTCTGCAGGTATGTTAAACTTCACATGTCAGCATACGTACGTCACCTCTGTGACTTCAGTGGCCTCATTGTCTCTTTCAACAGTTCTGGGGGACATCAGATATAGTAAAGGAAGCACCTTCCACATAAAATAGTAGTAGCGCAAATGGAAGTGTTTAAATAGACTCCTGTTAAATGTCGTTTGAAAGGCCCAGAAATTATGTTCTGTTTAGCAAGAGTTTCACTGAGAGGTGAACAAGGGTTACTGAGGGCAAACAAGTTCAAGTACAAATCCAATCATATTAAGAATAGTTCTTATTAAGCGGTAATTCTGTTCGAACAATTTTCATTTACTGGTGAATTTCATTTAGGAGGAGGAAATAAAACCTTATTTGACCGAGGGATTCAGGCACGTACGTCTCAGGATTCCTGCATGACCCCACTGTGCTATGCCTTCATGTAATGTCATGACGTGGATGGCCCAGTCGGTGGCAATCTTCAACTTGGCTGTATCCTTCGTGCGCAGCACGGTCTCCGTTTACTCTCATGCGGTCAGTGGCTCTGGGCCCCGCAACGAAGGGTCCGCCGAGCATTCGAGGAGGATGTAAGGGTACTGTGTATTGAGCACAGGACGGGTTGTATTGAACGGGTTGTTCGACTCCGATTCTGCCACTGCCCGGTTGATGAAACCTTGAGCTCATTGGTGGCTTCGTTGCCGGGATTGCCAGAGTGCACAGGCACCCGTATCAGCTCCACATGGCGGGCCGTGTTTTTGGTGGGCAAGCCAAAAGCGGTCTCGTAAACTCGTCCTCGCGCAAAATTTAGAATTGCAGTTTTCGAGTTTGAAAGGATGTGTCGGGCATCAGTGTGTATTAGGGCAAGCGTGATCGCCGTTTTCTCCGAGAGTTCCGGGTTGGATGTTGGGGGTAGGCTGGGACTTGCAATAAGCTGGAGTGTGCGATCAATGACTGCAACTCCCGCCTTGGTGCCCACACAAGCTGCATCCACCCATACGGCATCTTCTTCAGAATTGTAGTACTTGTGGAGAGCTTTTGCACGGGCCTTTCTGGGGGCCGAATGGTATACAACGAGGAGAGATTTTCATCTACTGATAGTCCCCTGTAATTTGTTTGCCCAATTGTAGACCACACACTTTAATGATTATTGTGTGCCTAAAAATCAGCTGCACTATACGTAAGGAGGAAACCGTGTTCCCAGTACTGACAGACACATAGTGTTGGAGCCTCTACCGTTACTTGATGACAACTGAGATGAGTTTCCACATATGTTAGTGGCAGTGATGTAGTGCTTTCATGACAAAGGCCAATCAAAACTTAAGGTAATTTACTGACCGAGGTAGCTGCAATACTGCCACACCACACATTTCTAATTAGAATAGTTATAATCCACAAAAAACGTATTTCCAATTATAATGGTGTAAATTTTTTAAAACTGGACAACAATACAACAAATCTGGTCTTCTGAAGTCTGCAAAGCTTATGGTCGTTCATTAAAGGAAGAAATTCTCAGGGTGTTTTTGTATCACAAAGCTTCAACATAAACCCGTGCGAGTTTCTCAGAAAGAAAGCTTTCCAGTTTTTGCAGAACTTGCCATGTTCTGTGTCCCTACAATCCGAGTTCACCTTCACTCTGTGATCTGCCGTGCTGGTTAGCTCGGACAAAAGACTGACCATCCTGGAAAGGCATTGTTGCAGGTCCTGAACTCAAAACCAGGACTTGTCAACTTATAAGCTTTTTTGCTTTTGAGAAGTGCATTTTTCGGTTTCATTTGTAGCCCTTTACCGGAAATTTGTGGGTTTAAAAAGCAGTGGTATTTTTGAAAGATTTTTTCCTTGTACCTTCACTTAGTCCAACCTGCCACTAGTTCGACCAATTTACTCGTCATATTCAAGTGTCATGGAAGTCAACTAACTGTACTGGAACAAAAGGCATTTTTGTGTAGTTGTACACAACTGTGTATGTGGTAGCAGCGTATGATCATTTTCGCAGCTGGGAAAATTCACGGACCTCCGGTCAACTGTTATCCTGGGTGGCGACAGCATAGAGGACCAGTTTGAGGCCATTCATGAGAACCCCGACCTGCTCATAGCCACGCCTGGTCGCTTCTTGCACGTCGTCATGGAGATGAATCTTCGACTCAACTCTGTCAAATATGTCGTTTTTGACGAGGCCGACAGGTGTGACCATTTTTCCTCCTTTTTAGCAGTGGTTGAAAAGCAATGGTTGTCTCTCAAAATGAACTAGTCCAGTACTGGCTCAATCGAGTGAATGTCTCTAGTTGCTGTATTGAGGGGTTCAGAACCAGACCAGAAGATATGCACACTGCAGTTAGTATGTCAGTGCTTGAGGTTATATCATATCTACACGCATAATTTGCGCACCCCCTAATACCTTGCCAGCGTTCTGAAAAAAAAATTATGTACTCGCATATTTTGTGCTCCCTGACCCGCCCGAGCCAGCTCGCTGGCACGCACACCTTTGGACATTTCGATGCTTCGACCGGGTGCACGCCTTGCCGAGCAGACGAGCGCAGTCAAACAGGCTGCAAGTGCAAAGTTCCTTCTTCCGAGGACTTCTCTTAAACTAGGGTTCCTAGAATACGGCACCCGAACACTCGTTTGGCTCCCCGTATCTCCCAATCTCTACCACCGCGCGGACATCTTTCTGCACCGAAGGCGTGCGAGGGTCTGTCGCACCAACTGTTCCTCTCGTTCTCTGCGTCCGCACTGTAACGCATGCTTAGTGGATTTCAGAAATTTAGGTTTCGCCATCTGGCCGACGCGTTTTCATGCTTCCCTTGCGATGTGCTACAGTAATTATATACAAGCAAAATTGAAGCTTGCTGTCGTAATTTTCGCCGAAGTAAACGGGAAGCGTGCCACTGCAAAGCACTTCCAGGGAACGTAGTCCAATGTGACGACCAGCGCCATCGGTATGCAAGAAAGCAAAAGGGTGCGGGCTTGCTAATGCAAGTTTCCTGCCATTGAAGAAGGTCTTCTCAATTATTTGCGGATGCTTAGTTCTTCCGGTATTCGTGATAGATAATGTCTACGGCAGTGACCATATGCCTGCTCTCATAAAATTAATACAAACCCTCCCCACCACTCAATCCCGACCACCGCATTGGAAACTACATCTGGCAGACTGGCCACTGTTCACTGAAAAAGCTGCCCTAGAAAAAGAGATGCTTGATGGCCTAAGCATAGAGGAAATGAACGAGACAGTCACCGCCTGCATACTTGCGGCAGCCGAACAAACTATACCACAATCCTCCAGCATTATAAAGAAAAAACTTAAACCCGGGTGGACAAAAGAGTGCACACAAGCTAAAAAAATGCAAAACAAGGAGTGGGGCGTTTTTCGTAAATATCCTACAGGAGAGAACCTCCTAGCATTTAAAAAGGCGAGAGCAAAGGCAAGATTTATTCGCAGGCAGGCTGAAAAACTCTCGTGGAAAAAGTACATTTCATCCATTAACAGTTCCATCACATCTAAAAGAATGTGGGATCAGGTGCACAAGTTTACCGGCAACTACAGTTCATATACCATCCCCATTCTCTCAACCCCTGGCATCCAGACAACTTTAGGCGAACAGGCAGACCTACTAGCGCAGCACTTTTGCGCTATTTCGAGCTCAGCAAACTATTCGGCAGCTTTCCTAAAACATAAACAATTTACAGAAAAACAAAAGCTTCCAATTACAGGTTATCACGACAGATCATACAACTTCCCCTTAACCCTGCAGGAAATTAACAGAGTGCTTTCTCAAGGTAAAAAAACAGCACCTGGCTCAGACAAAATACATTACCAAATGCTCGCCCATTTGTCCCAAGAAGCGGTGAAGGCATTGCTGCACTTCTTTAACGCTATTTGGATCACTGGCAGAATGCCAACAGAGTGGAAAAAAGCCATTATAATTCCATTTCTCAAAGCCGGAAAAAACCCTACATTACAAACAAGCTACAGGCCCATAGCACTTACAAGTTGTATGGCGAAATCCTACGAAAGCGTTATTAATATTAGCCTAACATACATCCCAGAAACCGATAACTTGATAGATGTCCATCAATGTGGTTACAAGAAAGGATGTTCCACCACCGATCACCTCGTTCGCCTTGAACATACAGTACGAGAAGCTTTCCTGTACAAGCAGCACTGCTTAGCAGTATTTTTCGATCTTGAAAAGGCATATGACACAACGTGGAAGTACGGTATCTTACGAGACCTGGGAGATCTTGGAATTCGCGGAAGGATGCTCAACTGCTTGTCCGACTTCCTATCGAACCGAACTTTTCAGGTTCGTTTGGGCACCACACTTTCAGGAACTTTTACTCAAGAGAACGGTGTGCCTCAGGGCTGTGTCTTAAGCACAACTCTCTTTGTCGTCAAAGTGAACTCTGTGAACTAGGTCATATCATCTACTCTTATGCACTCACTATATGTGGATGATCTCCAAATAGCGTGCCGGTCATCTAACATGGCGACGTGCGAGCGACAGATTCAAATAGCACTAAACAAGCTAACACAATGGGCTAACAAAAACGGCTTCCGGTTTTCTGAGGAAAAGACGGTTGCTGTAGCGTTCTCCCAGAAACGAGGCTTACAACCAGACCCCGTACTCAAAATAAACGAAACAGTATTGCCAATAAAACAAGAACAGAAGTTTCTGGGGGTCGTATTTGATAAGAAGCCCAATTTTCTTTCACACATTAATAATCTCAAGGTGAAATCCAACAGCGCCCTCAATGTCCTCAAAGTCTTGTCCCGAAAGCACTGGGGTTCCGACCGTAAGTGCCTCCTGCTCATCTACCGCTCTTTAGTACGCAGCAAATTAGACTATGGTAGTATAATCTACGGTTCAGCAAGAGACTCGTACCTTAAGCGCCTAGACCCTGTCCATAACAAAGGGTTACGCCTCGCAACAGTGCCTATCAAACCTCACCTATTTCGAGCTTATATGCCGAAAGTAACGAACCATCCTTAGAATATAGGAGAACGAAACTAATGCTCACGTATGTCTTTAGAGTTCGTTCTTCACCAGATCATATATGCCACAGTATTGTCACACGCTGCGACCTACGACAACACTACGCCAACAAACCAAACGTAATTAAGCCACTAATACTAAGATTTGAAGAAAAATTTCACACCCTAAATGTTCCTATTGAAGCACTCTCCATCGCCAGAAGGCCACCCAGTTTGGCCCCATGGAGTGATTTCTCCAAATTCTTAGATTTTTCACTCACACATATAAAAAAACAAAACACCCCACGTAAACGTATACTACAAGAATTCCTTACATTACAACAAACGTACAACACTTACGAAGAATTTTATACTGATGGTTCGAAGACATCTGCTTATGTCGGAAGCAGCGTGGTAGGAGCAACACACGAGCAAATAACTAGACTACCGCAGTTCGTATCCATCTACACCGCTGAGTGCTATGCGTTATGGATGGCAGTACGATACATTATAAGCTTAAAACATAAAAAACTGTAATATTTACAGACTCGTTAAGCACGCTGAAAAGTCTCAATTATAAATCTCAGCATGAGCCATTCGTAGGCGATATTTTAAACATGCTATCCCACACACCTGACCACACCATACGCCTCTGTTGGGTCCCGAGCCATGTCGGGATCCCAGGCAATGAAAGGGCAGACCAACTAGCTGCAACAGCAAAAGAAATGTGCAGGTCAAAAACCAACATACCTGCCAGAGATGGGATTCAAGCTGTTCGACGGGCCACCACTTTTCACTGGCAGCAGGAATGGAAATTACAACAAAACAACAAACTTCACCTAATTAAACCTGTTCTTGGTGAATGGAAGACCTGTCTTCATCAAGCGCGTTTTATCGAAGTAGTTATATGTCGACTACGAATAGGTCATACGCACATCACACATAACTATCTATTGGCAGGCGAAGAAGCCCCAACATGCGACAAGTGTCAGGAGCAACTAACTGTAATGCACATTTTAATAGCTTGCCCACATATGGAAACATGAAGAGAAAAACATTTCCGTATGTTTTACAGGTTAGATATTCCCTTTCATCCAATGCTACTCTTGGGCGATGACGCCCTACCGTATTTACACGATTGTAAGACGACCCTTTTTTTCAAATTTGACAATCCAATGTTGGGGGGTCGTCTTAGAATCGAAATCGAACCATGTACCTTAGAATCGAAATCGAACCATGTATTGTCATCTCGAATAGTTTCCCGCTCAACCCAAAGCGCATAGTTTTCCGCGTGCTTATACAAAAGCTTTTCTTTTTTTAGCATCTACTGCGCGCATTACGAGTGCCTTTATGACGAGCGCACGGCTCTTGAGGGAGCACCGGTAATCGATGGAAGAGCCGCCGTAGGGGGGTATTGGTAGTTGACGGAAGAGCTCCTCTTTGTGATACAATTTTCTAAGCGGGCCCATCGCCGCGTGCTCCTGTCGCTTGTGTCCACGACCGGCTCTCTCGAGTCACTTCTGTCTGACATGAGTGCCGTAGGCTCGAAGAACACTCGGCGCTCGTTTACGGCAGCGTTTAAGCGGGCTGCTATTCTTCATGCGGAGGAAACCAACAACTGTGCAGTGAGGAGAGCCTCCCTGGCTACTGTGTGCGGGTGGGTCCTCTCCGCATGGGCGGCCGTCCCACGCGATGCCGTGGTGCGGTAGTTCGCAAAGTGTGGACTCACACTTGACGACGACGTGTTGTGGGACTGCAGCAGCAATGACGGCAGCAGCACCAGCGAGGACGACTCCAGCATAGATCAATAATCCTCCGCAACCACGTGAATAAATTTCCCTTGTGTAAAATGCGCGCGTTCTTTTTTTTTTTTTTTTGAGATGCGATTTTGGGGGGGTCGTCTTACATTCGAGTCGTCTTACAATCGTGTAAATACGGTAATACCCATAGCTGATGTGATCAGCTTTTTAAATGAAGCACAAATTCTGAACATGGTCTAACTACACTAAACTATGCTACCGCTAGACATATAAAAACTTGACTGATGTGACTCGTAGCACAGCCTCTTCGGAGAGGCATCTGCTGCAGCTAGAATTTACAACGAGGCACTTGCCTCCCTGCCCTTAGGTTATAAGGACACGGGTATGGTATTAGTGCTGTGTAAAAGCCGTTACGGTTTAACATAACCTCATGTACCAACCATACACATTGA